CAAACCTCAACGAACACCTTCTACCAGGACCAGACATGATGAACAATCTAACAGGTGTCCTCCTACGGTTCAGAAAACACCCTATTGCTGTCATGTGCGATGTAGAGAAAATGTTTCACCAGTTCCATGTCCAAGAAGACGATTGCGACTACTTCCTGTGGTGGAAAGATGGGGATATAAGCATACAACCTCAGGAATATTGGATGAAAGTGCATATCTTCGGTGCAGTGTCATCTCCCGGCTGTGCAAACTATGGACTGAAGTACTTGGCCAAGGAAAACAGTCAGCTACATCCAATAGGATCTCAATTTGTTGAAAGAGACTTTTACGTGGATGATGGAGTCACAAGTACTGAAACTGTGGAAGAGGCCATTCAGTTGGCTCACGAGGCAAGAGAATTATGTGCCGCGGGTGGTCTGTGTCTTCACAAATTCGTATTTAACAACCATGCTGTTTTACGGAGCATTCCCCCCTCAGAGTGTGCCATAGATGCGAAGACCAAGGATCTGACTTTCAACAACATTCCACCTGAGCGAGCGTTAGGGATTCACTGGAGCTGGAGATGGATAGCTTCAGTTTCAACAACACCTTGAACGAGCAACCAGCGACACGCAGAGGCATATTATCAACTGTTGCCTCCGTATATGACCCTCTTAGCTTCCTTGTGCCATATATTCTCATCGGGAAGAGGATCCTACAGGACATGTGTCACCAAGGTACCGGCTGGGATGATTCCCTGCCAGAAATGCTGAAACCACGGTGGGAGAGTTGGCGTAAAGACTTTGCCAACTTAGAAAAGCTGGACATAGCTTGATGTTACATACCAGACAATTTTGGAGAAGTTGTAGAAACAGAGCTCCATCACTTTTCAGATGATGGAGCTCTGTTTCTATGGTGTCGCGTGCAGTATCTAGCCGAGCAGTTCTGGAGTCGGTGGAAACGGGAGTATCTTCACAACATCATCGCAAGACAGCGCTGGCATAGACTAATGAGAAATCTGTGTGTCGGTGACATAGTGATTGATGAACATGGATGAACTGCTGCCCAGAGGTGAATGGAGACTCGCGAGGGTCTAAGAGACTGTCAGTAGTAAAGACGGACTTGTAAGGAGAGTGAAAATCTCAGTGGGAGATAAGAGACTGAACAAGAAGGGCGAACGCCTTAGAAATCTCTCCGTAATGGAGCGCCCGGTGCAGAAGTTAGTTCTCTTTGTAGCGGCTTCTTAAGGTCATAATTACAAAGGTTCATTGAAGTTCCTAATTTGAAAATATTCATAGTTCATATGGTGTATATGTAATATTCATAATTTGGTGGGAGTGTAACTAACCCAGTTTGTGAGCTGTCTTGTCTGTCTACTGTCGCGCACTAACCGCCAAGACAAATTCCTTGTATGTTTGACATATTTTGGCTAATAAATGTTTCCTGATTCCTGATTCCTGAGCATTGAAGAATGTTTTGCATTTTTTCTTTATTACATGTTTTTTGATGATTTTGTTGATGATTCCTGTTTAGCGTTTGATGCTTTTTTTTTGAAGGCCGAGCTTGGGTAAAAAACGGAAGTCAATGTGGAAAAAGACCACGAATGGAAAAGGAACGGAAAAAACGGATGGCTACGGTATTAGTGCCCCCCCCCGAAAGGCAAACGCTCTTAAGGTTGTTTGTGTAATTAAATCAATAAATTGTGCAATCAAGCAGTAAAGCGTCAGACCATCTGTCGGGAGGGATATGCTACAATATTATACTGTATATTATAATGCAACAGAAAATGCTGGCCAAGGTGGAATATGTAGGAGTCCGGAAATATATAAAAGTTTCCCCAAAAGGATGACATCTTTGATTTCCACCAGTTTCTTCTAGAAGGTTTGTCTTGTATATCATTTATACATATGTAAACATAAAAATTCAAAAAGCTTACATAATCTGTGGTGGAGAAATGTAGTCTGCAGTCTCAACATCTCAGTGAAGGTAGACTAATCTTGACTGATACTGAGGTTGATGCAGAAGTATTTGATGAGCTGATAAATTCAGGGGTCCAAAACTTCAAGATTGGATATCAGCAGTACCCAGCAATAGGTATTCTATCTAAACATTCTTTTCATTAATCAGTATATGAAACTGTATGTTTTATTTCTTTGTCCACCAATTTTTAGACTTGGATTATTTGGTGTCTGATAAGCCCCAGACGTGGGTGTTCCCAGAGCATCAAGGATTACTGCCTTCATTGCTGTCCCCCGCCCCCTCCCAGCATCCTCCATTTCATCAGATTTGACTATTATCCTCTCATCCACAATAACAGTGCATGGAAGGGCACGGAAAAAAGGGCATGGAAGAGCTGGATCGCAATGAAGTAGGACAGGTAAACTTTGAAACTATGTTAAAAAATATGTTGATTTTAAAGATTATTTATTATAGCAGACACACTCTACTTTGATGAACATGTTAATGCCTACTGTACAGAGGAGCAACGTAATAAACATGTTCTGATTATATTGACCAGCTGACACATGTTAAACCTTTTGAAAAGCAATACTCTAATGACAGTGACAGAGCATACATTGTTTCTTATTGTTGTATGTTTTGAAAAGTGTTTTAACATGTTCATGTGATGATCTGACAATAAATATAATTTGCTGATTGGGATCTGAGGTATTTCTCAAAAAATTAGCAGCTACCACCTACCAGCCTCAAAACCCTCTGGCTGCTGCTGACCTCGGAATGATATACTTCCATGGGGCCGCGTTCATCTCAAGTCAATGCGTGTGAGTCGCTCCTGTACCTTTTTCAATAGATGTTCCAAATGTTATGGCCATAACAGATGCAGGTCATGAATCAAAGGTCTTAAACCACCCGGCTAGCTGATCTGTTCAACAGGTGCCACTGTCCGCTCTGCTCTGAATACACAACATGGAGAATTCTTCAAAGAAATACACACAGTAGAGAGTGTCTCTGCTGGCCCTTTCTACCCGGCATAGGTCTATAGCTCGGCCTTGCATGGCGACCACGCTGACAAGGCTCTCCTGCCTTGTGTGAACTGAGCTAGTGAACGCATTGACCCCATCAATACAACAATGTTTGAGAGGAAAGGGGGTGAGGGTGGGACAATATGTGAGAGTAAATTCCACACTGCATATCAAAGCATATTTCCTGTACTCTTTTACTTGGCCTGAATTAGAAAAGCATAAAATGACTTCAAAATAAGGATCACACACATATTATTATTTGGGTTATTATTATTATTATTATTATTGATTGTTGTTGACCCCATAATACGTATTGAGGTGGTTAGACATGTTTTTCTGTTTTTTTATAGATTTTAAATCGGAGAATAAAAATAATTCATGGTATTTGAGACTGTCTTTAGGTGTTTTAATTTGATAGGCCCTTAGCAACTGTTAGTTGCTATAAAATTCACAAATGGGACTCAAACTAAGCTCCATTAGAGTGCTCATATACCACACCGACAAACATAAACAAACCATAAGTTCCCTACAAAGAATATTAGGACCAGTCATAAAGGAGTGTAACTAAAACAGGAAGAATATTTTTTAGTTTGCAGAGCAACATTTATTATTACAAAAATTACAATTTTTTTTCAATTTTTTTCATTGTTTTGTCCTCATTCTCAGAATGGTATTTAGACTTCATTTTTAACATTTTGATTTGTTTTGTAGAATTTGTATTTCAAAATGTACTTAGATGCAGCAAATATATGTATTAATAAACTACAATACATCTCACAGTTAATATAAAAAATACTAATTACACCTATTGCATCCATGAAAACATCTCGCTCAACCTAATAATGATGACATTACAAAATTTGATACTGAATTATGATTTAAAATTTGACTTACTTGTTATGATTCTGAATTTATTTTTCAAGCTGAAACCAGCTTCCTTATGATCGACACACGCAATAGATGTACAACATACTTTTCATAGCAACTTTTGTAGATGCCTATTGCCTGTAGATGCCTATTGCCTGGAGAGATGGACTGTGTTAGCGTCTTCTCTCCCTGGATAAAGTGACCTTTGGAGCAAGGGCTGGTACATACATCATAGGAAGAGTGTGCAAACACTGGGATAGGTTTTTGCATGGGACGATTTCAAAAAACCTAAATCTACATCTTGTTAGTTTTAACATTTCCATCACTATCCCTGACGAAGCCTTTTGAATAAGTACTCTTACAGGGTTGTAGATTACCACAAATAAAATCTTCTACGTGACCTTGAGTATGAACCCATCAAACCACCTCAGAGAGTGCACATGAGCTAAATCCTGGATGTTTAACTATCATGGGGGAAATGAGAAGTGTGTTTCTCACACACTTCTCATAAAAGCGATAAAATGTCTGTTGGTAGGGTTGCGTTGTTGATGTTAACCTTTTTGTATGTAACCTTTCTGATGTGATCCAAGGTGCTGCAGATCTAATATTGCTGCGCTTCAGTGCCTCAACAGCTGCTGAAGTGCAGGTTTGAACTCCTTGGTGGTTTCTTTGGTAAAAGAACACTGTACATTGGCCGATCTCATGCCTTCCTCGAACGCTGGATGGGAGAAACAGAATCTCATCTGGGAGGTGGAACACCCTCGACGAAGCCCACCAAGGCCTGTTTCTAGTAACTCAGACGCCTGCTGGCACGGCATGAAACACATAACTCTTGTTTGGGATTGGATCTGAGGTTTACAGCTTGGGCTCCTTACCCAATTAGACTGGATCGCGGAGAAGCCAAACAGGGTGAAGTTTTTCAATGCCACAGGATGTCTTTAGAATGGATGGTTCAGTTTTGGGGGTTTTTGAGGACAGAGGGTTGCGGGGGGGAATAATTGTTCCCTGGTCTCTTTTATCATAGTCTGTAACCACACAGGTACAAGGAGCAGTCACTATCTGTCCTCCAACAGAGTTACAGTACAGAGTTTTCAAATGATGCAGTGCAGGAACAATAATCAATAAAAGGAGAGTGATGGAAAGTCTTTTTTATTTATTTAGAATTATTATTATTATTATTCAGAGTGAGACGTTAAGTACAAAAACAAGATACATGAAAAGCTTACATGAAAATAAATATCCATATAAGTAATAGCAAGTAGATGACAATGTGTTGGTTAGTCAAATAAAATACAACTTATTACTTACTAGTACTACTTACTACTACTAGATGAACCAATATTACCGTGTCCACTGCACGGATATATGGACATATTTATATATCAAAAAAAATAAGGGGGAATGTGATCCAATATCCCAGGCAGATTTGCAGCTGGAAAATAAAACAATCTAAAAGATTGGGACACTTCAATTATGCACAAAACATTAAACTCGGTTGTGTCTGTTTTGTGCGTCATTGCAAAGTCTGCATTCTCCATTTCAGCTGGAGGCAAGAAATGGGCACAAAGGAAGTTGGAGTCGGGGGGAACAAGACAACAAAAGGATCATGTCTTCTGTGTTCACTTGCATGGTATTTCAATCAACAACACCAAATGATGGGCCATAACAGACTCACTTGTCACAAACAAGAAAGACATCCTTTAAAATTCACGAGAAGGCTCCAAACATTCCATGCAACGCAGAGTTAACGCTTGGACGAGAATGGCCTCCTGTGGTGTAATCTAAACTTTTTGGAGACGTTGTTCCCCTTACCCTAACCCCACTGCGGGCTGTTGGTGATGGCTTTGAGAACGTCACACGTGTTCTTGGAGATGACCTCCCTCAGCTTCCGTACGCGGCGAGGACTGGAGGAGCCCACATAGCTCTCCGGCTGCAGGACGGCCATGCCGGCGCTCACGTTACCCATGATGATGACCTGTCCTTCGCCGGCGGCGGCCGTGATGTTAGGGCACGGGCAGTTCCAGTCTATGTTGAAGAAGGTGACCTCAAGGGGCTCCTTGCCGAAGAAGCGGAGACCCATCTTCTGATCCTTCAGGATCTCCTCCACGGTCACGAGGGCGTGGCCCGAGTCCTTCTCCTCCGTGAGCTCTGTCATGCGGCCCAAGACCACAAAGTCGCTCTGGCAGAAGCTCATCACCATCTTGCCTCTCACCTTGCAGGCCTTGCAATGGTGGATTTTCGAGTAGGGGCACGTCTCCTCACAGACATCTTTGGATTCAAAGTTGTTATCGTTGCCATCGCACCCTCCGTAGATGAAGGGCTGACACTGCTGCAGAGTGCTGCTGTAAGCCCAGCGCGGTTCGTAGGCTTTACAGGGCCCCTGCAGGCTGGGGAGCCCACAAGGGCCCGAAATCTCGGGGCCGCAGCACTGCATGCATCCTTGGTATGTCTCAAACACCTTCCAGGGCTTCTGCTTGTCGATGTGGCACTGTGTGAAGGAGAAGCAGCTGTTGGTCTTGGGCTCGTAGTACCAGCTGACTTTATCCATCTCGCTCCGACAATCCTCTGCGCTATCGGGGGGTTTCAGGCACTCTTCGGGCAGGCAGCGGGTCATATTCCAGGGCGCGAGGGTTTTATGTGGTTCCGTGGGCAGCACCGTTAGCGGATGGTCGGCTTGCACCGAGCCAGACGGGTTCCGAGCCGTGCAGGTATAGACGCCTGCGTCGTGCGGCTTGGCGTTGTAGATGACCAGCTGACCGATGTTAGTGACCACCATGTTACCCCGCACATGATTAGGCCTCATGGCTACCCGCTCCAACCCTTCCGGTTGCTGCTTCTCCCAGGTGATGTCAGGCCTGGGGCGACCCGTCACCTCACACAGGAAGCTGGCCGTGTCCCCCACTGCTACGATCTGGTGGACTGGGCTGCTGACCAAGGCGGGCGTCACAGGTTCGGTGGGAAGTGGCATGGTTGCCTGAAGCGGAGCAGTGGTAGGGCGGAGAGTGGTTACCTGGGGCGGGCTGGCGTTGGGCCAGGTGAGGTGAAAGCGGCAGGTGACGACGGCCAGGACAATGCCCTTGGAGCACGCCTCCGCGTCCATATAGCACTTGTTGTAGTAGGTCATGCCGTCGGACGCGCAGGTGAAGTGCGGCTCCCTCTCGCAGCGGTCCCGGCACTTACACACCGGCTGCCCGTCCCAGATGTCACACTCGGATCCCTGCTGGGTGCACGTGAAACTTGTACACGTGGCTTCCTTGGGTATTCCCATGGGGGCTTTATTCCCGTCCAGGAAACGGGCAGCCACGCAGCTCCGATTCCCCACACACGTTTTGGCAACACTTCTCAAAGGACTCACACTCCTGGGAGACGAGAAGAAAGAGTTACTAATGCAGGAGGCTGCCGGCATCTGGAATGCATTTCCATACAGTCGAGATTCATCACGATACACAGCAGAAAACGAATAAAACATATAAAATATAATTTTTGTTGATGTAGAATTAGCATGCATCATAAAGTAAAAAAGCTGCATTTTGGTTATTGAGAGGGCCTTACCTTATCAGATTCACACTCTCTTGTACACGTGCTCATGGCATCCACCCACAGGTTGGGGTTCATGTCATTGGGGCAGATTCCCGGGTGTGAATAAGTGACCTCTGGCAAAACTCCGTCCTGGTGCTCCATCCACACTAACACGCACGCCAGGAACCAGATCCACCGTGGAAACAGCATCCACCACATTTCCAGAGCGGAGTACAACTCGGGCTGAAGTTTTTGTTTCTTTTAAAGTTGGTAGATATCTGATACTTTTTACAGCAATTAAGCAAAACTCCACAACGGAGCGTACAAGTAGGTGAAAAGACGACGCAACTCAACGACGCATCACACGCGTGAGAGTCTAAAGCGTGTCCACAGATTTATCCGGTTTGATATCGTCTCCTGAATCCGAAGCCGCTCTATTTTCGATCCGTAGCTGCAGCCATGACAGCTATGAGTTGCTCCCGAGATGTTGGAAGAAGCTTTTTAAAAGTAAGAGGTAAGCTTTGGGCAGGGACTGGCGAGGCACCTGCCTGTTAAAAGGATTGCTGGTAACCCCGTTTAACCCTTTGCGGGCTCCAGCGGCACTGGAGCGCACCGCGCGCAAAGACGCACATAGGGCAATTTGTTATAAATACCTATAGGTTAATGGTTAATGATAGAGGGAAATTACAAATATACTTCAACCATAACACATACTTTTTGTTTATAGTAATTATACATTACGCTGTAGGTTTATTTCTGGTTAAATTTTCTACCGATATTGAAATATATTTTGATGTAAAAATGTAAATCAATACAAATGTTTGCCTACACGTTGAAAGACCATCACTTCGGTTTTAAATCATATGGATTTGATTGTAATTGAGATTATTTACTTTACTACTTTACACATCTCCCAAATCTCATGATTTCACCTAATGTGGCTTCTTTGAAACAAAATGCTTTGATTTGATATAAAACCCTTCAGAACCTCATGATCAACTTTATTATCTATATTATATATTATAATAATAATATAAAATATAGATAATAATCAAGATTCTAATATATAATTTTATAGTATTACAAAATAGGCTCTTAGAAAATATCTAAATGTATTTTTCATCCCAATGAAAATGTAAGATAATACAAACAGATTGTTGTTGTTGTTGTTGTTGTCACACAAAAAAAGATAAATGGGAGAAATATTGTAAAGCACATAATAATAACTACATTTTTGTAAAGGTTTGACCAGCTAATATAAAGTGAAATAAAACAATGACCCCATTCCGTTCAGTTTAGAGTATTACAATAAGCATGATGTACTTCAACCTGGATGTATTAACAAACTATATGAAATGAGGGATCTGATGCACTTTCAGAGTATACATTTTGCTGTAGAAAGTAGAACTATTTGTCAACATAAATGAAAACTATAAAGAATAAACACACTTTATAGTTTTCATTTACATGTTTTGACATTCTGAGAATTAAACTGTTAAGCTCACCGTAATACAAATTTAGCTAATTGATACACAAACATGGGTTCTATTGTGCGATAAAATTATTTATTAAGTGTGTGACAGCCATTTGCACAAGTGCATGCTCCAAAGTCTACAGAGCGGGTCTTTGTACACCAGCTGCAGAACGTTATCTACGGCCAGCACTTTAATTCATGGATTTAGCTTCATATGTTGGAACTTAAAATGTCAAACACAACCTTCTACTGAATCTGTCTTGTAGGGCCAGCAGAGGTGAGATGAGGACTCCGGAGATCAGCTGATGTGCTGCTCGGTGGGTGTGTGCATCTTGCACAGCCTTTAATGAATGAAGGTGTATTTGTTGGTTCCTTTCCTGTATAAACATCTCCAATGGGTTTCTTCCTCAGTTCAACTGAGGACAGGCTAGCTACTCGACTTCCTTCCAGCACAAAAGCAGTGGACTTACCCTGTGTGGTAGAATGTTTATTCTTGACGAAGACATGTGTGTGTTTTTGTACATGAAAGGCAAATACATATAAAGTGTTGTCCTGTAAGACGGATTCTATTTGCTCATGTTCTTCTTTTTCAAACAGCGATTTACTGTGTCTGTCTTTCCAGTGTTGAATCAACTTCATCCCTGTGGTTCCCTTATGGTCACTGTGGGGGTGGGGATTGCCTCAGCAGCAAAGGGGACAGAGAGGTTCAGGGAACAGTGGCGGAATGAGGTGGAATTGGCCTCAACTACATCTTGTTGGATGGATTGAGTATAAGCAGTCGATTGGGTGGTGAGAAAGGACACAGGTCAAAAAAAGGTTGCATTTGAATTGTCACATTTGCTTAGGAAGGTCCCTAAGTGATTGAAATGACTCTGAAGTATAGTGTAATTGGCCGCCATGATCAGAGCTGTTTAAATGTATAAGGAAAGGAGCTTGAGCGCTTCCCTACTTTGCTCCTTCAGCATAGGAAAGGAGATACTTCTGGCCCACAAACTTTGCGGCGGCAACATTTAAATAGTGACGTATCAGTTGGCCGTTCACAAGAAATAACGATCATGATGGAGAAACAAAAATTAATAATTTCAGTAACCATTAGCATAACTCATTTATATTGCAACCTTTTTAATAAAAGTAATACTTTGAACCTGGTTGTTTATGTCGTCTGCATGACTCAGCACTGTAACAACAGATGAAGGCCTCTAAAATTATTATCTCCTTTCGTAAAAGATGATCTAGTGGTTAAGGAGCTAAGTAGGAAAGCATTGAGGCTCCTTTCCTTAGCATTATAGAATTCAATCAGCTATCATCATGGCGGCATCTTACACTACTTCCGGGTTACGGTCACAATGGCAAAAATCCATGTTGACATGTACAAACTTCTTATCAGATCCATTTGAAGAGCTCAGCATTGCCAAAACCAAGAGATGCACCCCGACACAGAAAGAAGTTGGCTGAAAAAAGAAACAACTTCTTGAACATGTCCTCAATCAGATACTTGTGACTTTGAATTAGTAGTCCATCCATCCATCCATCCATCCATTGTCAAACCGCTTATCCTGCACACAGAGTCACGGGGGGGCTGGAGTCCATCCCAGCCAACTTCGGGCGATACACAGGGTACACCCTGGACTGGTCGCCAGCCAATCGCAGGGCTAACACAGAGACACACAACCACACCAGTGAATTGATTAAGATGAACTTCACTTTGAACTTTCACACCAGCTGAACAGCTGATAATGAGCTTATACAGTACCATGGATGACTGTACTGGACACAGGTCCAGCGGAAACACGGCCCAGACACACAAAAAGACCACAAAGAAACACAGAATTAGTAGAAACAAAACAACTAATACAGACACAAAATGACAGGAAACCGTTACTAAAACAGATGTGCTCCATCTCGCAATGATCGATTTAAATAAAACTACGTGCCCCCAGTTACTATCCTTCTAGCAGACTGTGGGTGGTCTAAATATATAAAGTCGCTCTGCGGACACACACTGCACTACTCAATAAAGAAAAACAAAGAACTTCCACAAGCTCCCTCTGACTTGTGGCCACACCACAACTTTTTTGTAGCGACAGAGTGTGTGTGTGTGTGTGTGTGTGTGTGTGCGCGCGCGTTTCAAGAGCACCGGCCACAGGAGGAAACCGTTGAGAAATGATGAGCGCAGCTTCTTTGTGACGCATCAAGAGGCCCGTGGTCTCAGGTGAACTCGTCTTTGTTAGTGGAAGCCAACATCTTCATTATTGAGGTACACCCCACAGTAACCGGGACACACTAAGGGGGTCCTCTGGTGGATCCCTCGTCAGCTGTGAGCACACTCTAGTGGAGGACTGCAAAACTTACATTGTCATTTGGTTTGCAGTTATAGTTCACATACTGAATATACACGTTGTACTCTTAATATTGTTGTTAATGAATGCTACCAGGGCCAATAAATGAGCCCTGCATTTTCCAGATGTACAAAAGGTAAGGCAATTTCAGTGAATTTCAATTCACTATGTACGGTATTTTATCTTTATATATATATAAAATGTGTGTGAGTTGTTTTACTTGTTGTTCTACCATTTAAATTTGATTAGTTTGAGTTTAAAAATCCAAAAAGCCAAAAGCCAAAGCACACACAAAGCACAATGTTCTTACTTCTTTTTTTCATTTTTTATAAACCACAATTCATATTTTGGTGGTACAGAATTCAAGTTTTAATAGATTTGGTTCATAAAATAATCACATATGTAACTTCCTAGATGATACAATTATTTAAATAGCAGTACAGTACAAAAATAAGTGGGTTTATCACAAAAGTTCTTTTCTATGAGGAAAGTACAGTGGCACAGCAGTTTTTGTTTTTTCTTGTTTGTTTTGCAACAGGTAGCCGATTAGAAAATGATACATTCACTGGCTTTCTTCATCCCACTGGCCCAGGCACTAAAAAGCAGACTTGGATCAACTAGTATTTTCACATATGGCTTGTATTTTCCTCTTTAGATGCCAACGAAACAATGTTCAAACCCAAGAGACTACGGTTAGTGCCTTAACTAAAGACCACCACAGAAGAGAACGTGAATGTCAAACAGACAAACACCACATCGGCTTCCAGCTGCTCGTCCATCCAAGTCTGCAGCAAGTGTCCTGAAAAGGGTTCAAGCTGCAGAGACACGTTGAACCCTGGCCTGTAAGATCGGGGGAAATAGAGGCAGCTCTACTGTGTCAGCCCTGCGTCTTTAGTCATGCCGTAGAAGATACCTCTCTGGGATATGAGGTTTGCCGGAGTGTCGAACTCTGCTATCTGTCCCTTGTCCAACACCAGCACTCTGCGGGGAGAGAGAAGCGGTTCAGCCACTTACAAAGCGTAGACACTTCTCAGAGCAGACATAAAAAAGCATCTGCATACACATGAGTGTACCTGTGGGGTGACGGTGAGGTTAAATTCCACTCTTGTATCAATGTTTTCACGTTGCCAGTGGAGAATACATTTATTCCAGCCATGCAAAGCTGACTATACAGTACATCAGGGCATGTTATATTTATTATATTTGTTGTTATATATTTATAATAATAATTTATAATATATTTATATATATATATATATATATATATATATATATTTTTTTTTTTTTCCATCGGAACTAACCAATCAAACGTATTCTAAATGAAACATACCCTGATATTAATATTTTAGGAGCCTAAAATATATGTAGCTGCTTTCTCCTTCAAGGCGAGTATTCATATATGTAGAACCTTGTGTAATCCATGATTGTGTTGAGCCGATGAGCGATGGTGAAGACGGTGCAGTCTTCAAACTGGGTCCGAATGGTGGATTGGATGAGATCGTCCGTCTCCAGGTCTACAGCAGCTGTAGCTTCATCCAGGATGAGAATCCTCGTCTTCCTCAGGAGAGCTCGAGCCAAACACACCAGCTGCCTCTGGCCCACACTGTGGATACAACATCAGATGAAACTCAGCGCTGCAGAGAGCCTCTGGTTAGCCGGTTGACTGCAGCCATTCATTCATCATTGCACCGACCTGAGGTTCTCT